GGAAAACTCATTTCTTCTGTTTCCTCCACACTGATATATAAAAAACTTCTGTTCCATCCTACCCTGTCTCTGAGACTGGTTTTCAGAGGCAGGAGGCAGAGTCTCAGCTTTGTGGTAAAAAAGGTGTTTTAGAAAATGCCGAAAGAAAGGAACCCTAGCGGTGCAATGGTTCAGCACTTGCTACCAGTCAGAAGATTGGCAGTATGAACCCACCAGCTACCCCGAAGAAGAGAGATGTAGCAATCTGCTTCCGCAAAGGCCTTGGAAAGCCTAGGGTGCAGTGCTGGAGGGGCACTCGGAGTTAGAATTTACTCCATGGCGATGAGTTGCTTTTCTGTTTCTTTTACCCCAAGAATTTGGTCTTTGTTTCCCTGGAAATTTCCCTTGAAATTTCCTGAGTGTTTTAAGGTTTTTAGATCAGGCCTCCAGAGCACACCCAAAGATTTATGTTAATGACGTAACTCTGCTAGGGCCTGGGAAAGTCAGATCCACATGTTACCAACCCAGCCTCAATCACTCATGCCTGTGTAACGGAGTTTCAGTGAAAGATCTGGACAGAGAAGCTCCCTGGGCTTCCTGGTTGGTGCAAAGTATCCACAAATGTGGGATGGTTGGTTGTTGATTTAACTTTGGAACATGAAAACTCCATATTGGTAACGCTCCCAAAAGTCATCCTTTTTTATACTGGTCCTGATTTACACTTAATTTTTATGTACTTCTTCTCTTTGCTGGTCCTGATTTGCATCCTTTATAATAGCTCTTAGTTATCAAGTGCTGTTATAATAGATGGCTTTGACAAGGATATTTCTTAAAGTTTATTGTTGCTGGGTGTTCTCCAGTAGGAACTGAATCACAGACGACCCTCTAGGGCCATTAGGCTCTTTCTACAAGCAAAGTTGTGCCAGCTACTAGGCCACCAGAGCGCCCTCTTATAGATTGTTATTGTTGTCACCCACTGTCGCATTGAAACTGACCCATAACTAAACTTCCAGTGAGTGCATTTTCAGAAATAGTAAATTGTATGGGAAGAGATTGCCCATTTTCTTCCACAGAGCAGTTGGTAGATCCGAACCTTGTGCCTTTGGTTTGGCGGTGCAAGTCCTTACCACTAAGCCATCATAAACTAGAAGTTCAAATTCAGCACGTTGCCTTTAGGGGAAGGCTTTCTCTCTGTTTTCTGGTTCTAGTTGTCTCTATATTTGTCCCCATTCCCCCCAACTCCCTGCCAAAAAAAAAGGTGGCCCAACAGAAAGTGGAAATTTGGAATAAGATCATGAGTTGATTCCATCTCAACAGTACATGAGAACAGTAACACCATTAATACCATATGCAAGTAAAGTCTTGCTGGAGATTATTTTAAATTGCCTAGAATAGTACATCAATGGACAACTGCCAGAAATTCAAACAGGATTTAGAAGAGGCCATGGAATGGAGGATATCATTGGTGATGTCAAATTGATCTTGCCTGAAATCAGAAAATACCAAAAAAGATGTTTGTGCTTTCGTGACTACGAAAAGGCATTGTGTGGGTCCTAATAAATGATGGATAGAATTGAGAAGAATGAGAATTCTAGAACATTTAATTGTCCTCATGTGAAACTCCTAATACATAAACCAAAGAGCAGTTGTCTGAACAAGGGAACAATGTAGTGTTTAAAACCAGGAAAGATTTAGGGTTGTATCCTTTCTCTATACCTATTAAATGTAAATCCTGAGCAAATAATTTGTTGAAACATCGATGGATCACTTCTCTAGAATTATTTTTTAGTTATGCAATTGGGAAGAGGTAGTTGTTTTGTGGTTGTTTTTAGTGTGTGTGTGTGTGTGTGTGTGTGTGTGTGTGTATGTGTGTACTGTCAAACGGATCTGACTGGTACAGGAGGAGATTGCCCCTCCTTCCCCAGCAGATCATCTGGTGGATTCGAACCACATACCTCTGGGATTGCAGTGCTGCTTCTTGCCACTAGGCCATCAGAGTTCCCCTAGTTGTTTTGTTTTTAAAAAAGGTTTTTTTTGTTTTGCTTTTTAGGAAATCAGGAAGCCAACCATTTTTTTAAGCTAATGAATGGTATTTTAAGAAATCAAATTTCATTTCTTTTATACCAAATTATGAAGATCAATTGCAATACACCTGAGAATTCAGTTCACCTACCTCTGACCCTAAACCATCTGTAGCTACATCAGGGCTCACACATTTAAAGGCACAGTTTTTCCTGCCTACTAGTTTGCCCAAAATCTCGGACACCAGCTGCAAACTTGGGAAATACCACACCTCCTTCCCCATACTCTGTCGTGACTTAATGGCTAAAAATTTAAAATCCTAGATCCCCAGAGCTTTGGTAACTTGCTGGAACTGTTCATAGAGTTCAAGAAAGGGCTATATTTAGGAATTTTGTGAATTGAATTGTGTCCCAGTTCCCTCTAAAAAAACATGTGTCTGCAATGGTGCAATCTGGATGTTACATAATGATCCCCTCATGATCTGATAAACCAAGGAATTCTAAAAGGATTATGAGGGGAATATAACAGTCCTTAATCCCATTGAAGCTCTGATTCAATATAAGGGGAGTATCCCTCTGTAATAGCTCTTCTCTCCTAAGAGATAAGAGGAGAGACAAGCCAGGGGAGAAGTGTGGAGGGACCTCAGGACCACTGAGGAAGAAGTGCCGGGAGCAGAGCATGTTCCCTGGACCTAGGTCTCTGGGGGAGACAACCTCTTGTTAGGTGCCCTCCAGTCACCACTCACGGCAGTCCTACGGACGACAGACCGGAGCCTTGCCCTATCCAGCTCTGTCCTCACCATCTCTGCTGTGCTCAGGCTTGTTGTCACAGTCACTGTGTCAACTCACCTTTTTCAGGGTCATCCTCTCTCTTGCTGATCCTCTATCTTTCCCAGGGAACATTGGTGGCCTAGTGGGTATGCACTGCCAGCCCAAAGACAGGCAGTTTGAATCCTCGAGCTGCCTCAAGGGAGAAAGATGGGGAATCTCCTCCCATGTGATTTACAGCCTCTGAAAAACTGGTTGGAGGGTTTTTTTAGCTATGAATCAATTTCAAGTTTACAACACATAACAACTAACTTTCCCAGCATGGTGTCTTTTTTTTCAAGGACTGGCCCCTCCTGACAACGTGCTCCAAGTGTGATCAATGAAGTTTCACCTGCATTGCCTCTAGGGAGCACTCGGGCTGCATGTCCTCCAGGGCAGGTTTGTCTATTCTTTTGGGAGCCCATGGACAGTCAATTTGCTTCCCCACACCACTATTTAAAGGTACTGATTCTTCTGTCAGGTTTATTCATTGCCCAACTTTCAGATGCATAAGAAAGAATTGAAAATACCAAGGCTTGGATCAGGTGCACCTTAGTCTTTAAACCAACATCCTTTAGGACTTTGGAGAGGCACTTTACTGCAGATTTTCCCCAATGCAACATGTTTTTTGATTTCTTGACTGCTCTTATTAAGGGTGCTGACTGTGGTTCGAAGTAGAATTATGTAATTGACAATTTCGATCTTTTCTCCATCTACCTATGATGTTGCCTAATGGTCCAGTGATAGGGGTTTTTGTCTTCTTGATGTTGAGATGCAATCCATATTAAAGTCTTTGATCTTCTTTAGTAAGTGTTTCAAACTGCCTTCACTTTGTGCAAGCAGGTTCTCTAAATCTGGAGCTTTAAATCTTTAAGGAAGGAGGAGACTACCCAGCTACTCCTCCAGAGACAGACAGCCTCCTCCCACAAAGACTTAAAGCCTCAGGAACACAATGAAGGGTTGCTGGGAGCTGAAATAGGATAGTGGATTTGAGGGTTTTTTTAATTATTTAATTAACAGGGAGCTCCGGTAGCCTAGTGACAAGAAACTGTGTTGCAATCCTGAAGGCATGCAATTCAAATCCACCAGATGTTCCTGGAGAAGGAGAGGCAATCTCCTCTTGTGCCAGTCAGATCCGATTCAACACTGCATAACTCATAAGCACTCAGCTGGCAGTTTATGGTTTGAACCCAGCCGTGGACCTGTAGGAGAAACAAAACGTGAGAATCAGCTTCCATAAAAATTTAGTGTTGGAAAGCCAGTCGGCATTTGTACTCTTTCCTGTAGGGGAATTATCAATTCCAAAACCGTGTGTTTTGTGTCACAAGACCTTTGTGATGTGATCCATTCCTATTTCTCCAGTGTCATTGTCAAAATACATGAAGCCACATGTTATATTCAACTTATAGAGTCTCTATATTTTAAACAGCCACTTCTGTTGGAAGGTCTGCAGACTACAAGGTGAGCACCCCAGGCTGTGGCAGGATCCAGAGGCCTGGGATAGAGGTCTGAATATATACCTAGCACCTACCACAATGTGTGTTTCATAAACAATGTTCAACTAGATGAAGCACCAAGAGAGAGGCCAACATCCTACATTTCTTCATGAAATTTCATGCAACCAAGGAAAGAGAGATAAAGGTCCTACATGTGACTGTACTTTTTTTTTTTTCACATCAAATTTTTGTTGTTGTTGTTGTCAGTCATCCACTTCCTAAAACACATGCCTCTGGAAACTCTATGAACTTTGATAAATGTCGATAATTGTAGAGAGGCTTCAGGCCTTTTGTTCATAGGGTCGCCATGAGTTGTGCTCAATTTAAAAGCAATCAACAACAACAACAACAACAACATCATGGGTATGATCCAATCTTGTTCACTGGGTTGCAATAATGATTAACACAAGCATACAAAACAAAGGTACTAATCAAAATAATAAACATATATAATGCACACTACGCAGGAGAAAGATGGACAGTTCCCTCCCATATGATTAACTGCCTCAGAAAACCTGCTGGAGGGTTTGCTATGGGTCAGTTCTGACTTAGAGGTACACAACAACAACATAGTCCACACTGCACTAAGGGCGTGATAGCTTGTAGTAGGAGAACTCAGCCTTGGGAGAAGCAGCCTAGCAGGCACTAGGGGAATGCAGAGACATATCTATATCCACATGCTTTCTGAAATGCAAGCATGAGGGCCAGGCATAATGTCTCCATTGAAAGGATCTGGATCTACTCAGACAACGTAAGATTATTGTGGAACCCACCTGCCAAATGACATAGAGCATGGTGTGGCCAGCTTGCTGATGGATGTCAGGTTGGTTTCCCTAACAGTGCCCACCTGGGGCTTGTTGGTGCCAGAATGCCTGGATTAGCTGGTAGTGTCTCATGACTATGTACCAAGTGTTGTGGAAGTGTTTCAATGCTTAACAATCATGTGGACTTAGTGGTATATTAGCTATTTGCTCCACTAACTTGCTTTGTTTACTTATTAAGACAGAATGGAAAAGAGTCAGAAGATTTCATTACCGGAGACACTTCTAAAACCAAGAAGCACTAAAAAGATCTGAAGGCTGTCAGGACCTCTCCAAATTACTGAGGAGCAATGATGCCAGTTTGAACAGTTTGTGCTTGATTCAGGTCATGGTCTTTTCAGGTATGGTGTTGGAGAAGAGTCATGAACATCCCATAGGCTACAAAAAGAACAAATAGATAAGTTGTGGAGAAAGTTCAGTGAGAATGCTCACAAAGCTTCGTCTCACATACTTTGGACATGTTGCTAGGAGAAGCTAGTCCTTGGAGAGGGTCATAATGCTTGGAAAGGTGAAAAAGAGTGAAACGAGAGGAAGAAAGTGAGAGAGAGGATGACCAGTGACCAGAGGATTGATGCAGGGACTGCAGCAATAAACTCAAGTGTGTCAACTATGGTGAGGATGGGACAGGAGAGGATAAGAGTTTAGATCTGTTGTTCATAGTTGCACTCAACTAGACGGCAGCTAACAGCAGCAACAACAACCACAACTCTTCATCCCACACCTAGAGTACAATGGAGAGTGCAGTAAGTGTCTTCGAAGTGCTGTTGGGAATTGAGAATATGATTTCCAACCAGGAAAAGTAACTTCCTTGACATTCTGTCACTCTGTTGGTTTCTCTCAACAATCTTGCACATGTTGTATGGACTTAATCAGAAGTCATTTGTATTTTACAAATTTTGTAACCTTGTTTTCTATATTCATGCCAGATTTCAAATTATTCAAATACACAGAGTGATTTGTGTACAAAGCCACTTTCCTAGTTAATAAATGTTCTCAGCAATAGTTTGTTTTTATTTTCTTTCCTTCCCATTACAAATATTTCTAAAACAGCGAGATACAAAATTTCTAAAACATGGTCGAAGAGGTGAGATAAATCATAATAAAAAATTTTTAAAAGGTGAGATAAACACACTAGTAATAGAGAGTACAGTTAACTGAATAAAAAAGAAATGTCTGGGGAAATCAAGAGTAAGATTGCTTGCAGCCTGCAAGAAGGCGTGTTGCTGTTATTGTTATGTGCCGTCGAGTCGTTTGCGACCATAGCGACCCTATGTACAACAGCCCTAAACCCTGCTCTATCCTGTGCCAATTGCATTGCCTCTGACACACCATCCTCGATTACCCCAGTCACTGAATCAATCCACCTCATAGAGGGCCTTCCCCTCCTGCGCTGTCCCTCCATCCTCCCAAGCATGATGTCCCTCTCCAAGGACCTCTCCCTCCTTACAACATGTCCAAAGTATGTCAGACGAAGCCCCAGAATCCTTGCCTCCAAGGAGTAGCCTGGTTTAACCCTCTCTAGGATGGATCTGTTTGTTTTCTTGGCAATCCATGGATGTATGTATGCAAGAAGGCGTGGGTGGTAGTAAATCAGGAAAGGAACTGAGATTAAAGCAGACTTCAATCAGGATGGTTGATGACACACTTGTCTCTCCTTTTCTTCCTTTCTTTGAGTTTAATTTACCAGTAGCTTAGCCTAGTTTTTTAAAGATTCAAAGAAAGCCTATCCTCAGGGAATGTATGAATTATTTTAGAGAGAAGATTAACACATCTTCTCTAGGCACTTGAACAGTTAGGCAAGAAGTGAGTGATGAACTATACTAATTAGAAGCATAAAAAGGAATTTAGAAAAGGAGATTTCAGTATAGTTTAGAGGATGAGATGTTTCCTGAAAGTTAAAACTTAATAGAGGTCATGGTGGCATCTGACTTTCTAATACTTCAGGGCAGTTATGAGAATCGCCATCAGCTCAAGCTGATTCCTGTGAGGTGAAGGCCAGAGACACTTTCTGTCTCAAGCATTTTGCTAATTTTGACACAGTCATCCTCCCCAATGCCCTCTGGACTTTTCTCCTCAGTTTTATAAGTCAGTGTCATGACCACACAGAACTCACACCATCCTCCTGATCATCAAGTTTATTAGGAAAATAACAGGCTACAACTTAATATCAGGATCAATTTGGAAATGACAGGAATAACTGGACAGACAGGACGTAGCTTGTCAAACAAGAAAGTCTCCTATTAGGGCACCTCTGTGTCTACTGCACACACCTCTGCAGACTAGTTCTTGGTTAATATGCTGGGTTACTAACTGAAAGATTAGTTCATGTCCACCTAGGGTGCCCTCAGAAGAAAACCCTTCTGGTTGACTTCTGAAAAAAAATCAGTCAATGAAAACTTTATGGATTGTAGTTCCATTCAGAAACACATGGTCACCAGGAGGAGGTGTCACCTCAATGGCAACCACTTTGCTGTTGGTGTTGAGTTAGTCTGCTAAGTGGAGCACCTAGGGCAGAACAAGTAACATGCTAAGGAGTCTAAGGGCAGAGATTTTAACCAAGAGCTCTTTGTCCTAGGGCTTTCCTGTAAACGATATTGGATCAGATGACCAGTTCATTTTCTTAGACACTGAGTCTGACATGATGGTGCTTCCATGTAATGATGTCAAGCAGTTGGTTAATCTGTTGAGTCTTCTCCTTTTCAGTGGGCATTTGGTTATTATATTTGACCTGGGGTAGAACTGTTTTCTTTGATTAAATACCTGGCAGAAGGTCTTAAGTGTCAGGATAATTTCCTTCTTCCTGAAATTCCCCACTGAACGCTTTCATTATGGAAAAATATATCAAAATTTTTAGTGATGATGAGGTGATTGATGCTTAACATCTGAATTGAGTTGGTTTGAGAGTAACATTCTCATAAACCAGTTTAATACCATTTCACAGACAAGTCATTCTGGTTTCAGTTAAGGTTTCTGAATTATAGAAATTATGCTTCCAAAGATAACAGTAAATTTTAGTTAAATGCTGAAAGCCTATCACTGCTAGTGAGATGCTTCTGTGTCACTGACACAATGTGGACATGGCGGTTCTATAACTTCTCCAAGAAAAGTAGAAATGGCCAATCCTAGCATGAAATAAGTTCCTGTGCCCTGGGCTAGGAATAAACGAGATCAAATGTATTTAAACTGCTTGACTCTCAAAGAGGGGGATAACAAGTTTAATTTTCAACTCTAGAAATCCTTTAACATGCCAAAAGTCTTTTGCATTAGTACCTAGTCAAATTATGCAGGTTTACCATGGGTGGCCTCACGCTTTCTAATCTGAAGGTCACTCACTTTTACTCATGGCCCTGGAGTCAGCTCACCTTCTGAGTCTATAAATAGCACAGAGATTGCCCCTCCTTCCCCCAAGAGCCTCTAGTGCATTTGAACCACCAGAGGAATCATTTCTGAATTAGCAGAGAGCTACTGCAAACTAAAGGCCAGTGGTTTGAAACCACCTGCTGCTTGCGAGAACTGCTTTCTTAAAGACTTACGGTGCCTGTAAACCTTATGGGACAATTATTCTCTGCCCCGGATGGTTGCTGCAGGTAATTTTTTTCATAGGAGAGAATTTTTTGTGTTTGCTTAACCTTGGCAAAGAAGATTTCCCAAAAGGGCCTCCAGGGACTAAAGACTTTCCTTCTCAAGCTGTTCCTGCTTGCCTTTTCCAGTCTAAGCTCCAAGTCTTCCCATGTCTTCTCCCACCTCTCACTTCCTGTCCTGAGGCCCTGTCCCAACCTCAGGCCTTTCCATATAGTCTCTGCCCCACCTTCCTTCACTGTTGTCTGAAGGCTAGAATGGGGAAAAACACACTTGGCAGAGGTTAAATAAAAACAAACACCTCAAGATTAAACCTCCTGTTGTGAAAGTACTTACCACAGCAATATGGATTACATCCCAACATCAGGAAAACAAAAGTCTCACAATTAGTAGGATAAAGATACAGAGCCAAAAGACAGAAGTTGCCAATGATTTAATTGTTGTCGGAGCCATAATTAACACTCATAATGGATGTTAGGTGTATTCGAGTCGATTGTGACTCATAGCAACTCCTATAAACAGAAGATCAGCAGAGCCCTGGCCTATCCTATGCCATTCTTACATTCTTTGCCATCCTCAAGTCCATTGTTACAGTCACTTGTGTTGTTTTAGGTACCATTGAGTACAGTTCATAGGGACCGTATGAACAGCTGACCTGAACCCTGACTTGCACCATCCTCATCATCCCTGACACACTAGAGCTCATTTCTAAAGTCACCATGTCCTTGAGAGTATTTCTTTCCTTCACTGACCCTCTATCTTTCCAAGCATGATGTCCTTTTCCAAGGAATAGCTTCAGCTAGCTATTTACCTAAATAGGAAAGACAAAATTTTGCTATCTTGCCTCCAAGGAGCACTCTGGCTGCACTTTTTTCGAAAACATATGTTTGTTCTTTTGACAGTCCATGGGATATTCAGTATTGTTTCCAGCACCACAACTCAAAGATCAGTTCTTCTTTTGCCATCTTATTCACTGTCCAGCTATCTGGTAAGATTGAGAAGGCCATGGCCTGAATCAGGTGCACCTTAGTCTTCAAACTGACATCATTGCTCTTCAGCATTTTGGAGAGGTCCCTGACAGCTCTCTTTCCCAGTGCAATGTCTCCTGATTTCCTTAGTACCAAGAGTGTTGATTATTGATCCAAGCAATCATTGACAGCTTCAATCTTTTCTACATCTATCATAATGTTGATTGTTAGTCCTGTGGTTAGGATCTTTGGCTTCTTGATGTTGATACAGAAGACTGTCGTCTTTGATCTTCTGCAGCAAGCATTACATATGATCCTCAATTTCATCAAGTTATCTTGTGTCATATGCATAATGCAGGTTGTTGATGAGTCTACCTCCAATCTTAATGCTACATTTGTCTTCATAAGACCTGGTCTTGTGAATGATTTGCTCAGTATAAAGTATGTCTAGATATGGTGGAAGGATACAACCTTGACACACACCCTTCCAGATTTTAAACCATATTCTCTTGCTTTGTTTCTTGATCTAGATATCGATTTCTCATGAGCCAAATGAAGTGTTCCGAGATTCCCATTCTTCTCAATATTAGCCAAAATTTGTTATGACACACACAAATGCCTTTGCACAGTCAAAATGCTAATAGACATTCTTCTGGTATTCTCTGCTTTCAGCCAGGATCCTTCTGACATCAGCAATGATATATCTGGTGTCACTGCCTCTTCTACAACCAGCTTGAACTTGTTAGTTCCTTGTCAATGGAATGTACTGTTATAGTAATTTTAAAATGATCTTCAACAATATTTTGCTTGCATGTTAATGCTATTGTTACTTAATTTCCATTCTGTTGGATCGTCTTTCTTTGAATAGATATTATCACTTGTGTTAACAACAGTCAAATCAAGACGTGCTGCTTTGGGAAAACGTACTGTAAAGGACCTCTTCAAAGAGCTAAAGAGCAAAGCTATCAGTTTAAACACTTAAGATTTGCCCGATCCAAGCCATGGCATTTTCAGTTGTTTCATGCATGTGAAAATAGAATAATGAGTAACACCAAAGATGCTTTCATAGTGTTGGAGTACTAATATCCCAGGACTGCCAAAAGAACAAACAAGTCTATCTCGGAGGAGGTGCAAACCCGGCTCCTTAGAGGTAAAGGCTGATGAAACTCTGTCTCAAGTTTGTTTGGGCATGTTGCCAGGAGAGGGAAATAATGGGTGGAGGGAGGGGGGGCGGAAGAGATCGCGCTGGGAAAGAGTGGAAGATTTTTTAAAAAATGGACTGAGACAATGTAATAGAAAGCTTGAGCACCACAGATACCGTGAAGAAGGCGCAGAAAGGACAAAGCTTTGAAGCTTTGATCAAATTCTTATAGGAGCGAAAGGAATCCCACTCAAAGCCATCTACCACCACCACGAAACTCTTCCCACGCGCTCAGGCGGATGTCGTAGCCCCGCCCTCTGACGCACGTACCGGAAAAAGCCCGCAGGGGCCGCTCTGGCCGCCGGGAGGACTGCTCATCTCGGTGATGCTGGGCGGTGCAGGCGGGTCTGACGTCAGTCGCGTGTTGTGACCAGTGTGCACCCCGCAGGCCGGCTGGAGGTTCCAGGGTCCTGGGGCCAGGGGATTGGCAGAGATGTGGAGGCTTCAGTCGAGGTGCGTGCACGGTGGTGACTGACTCGCCAAGGGCAGGCTAGTTAGCTGTTTCTTCCGAAGTGGGAAAAAGGTCGGAGTGGGCACTGTCTGGGCGCAGAACTCCCTGGCACTCCTTAGCTTCTGTCCCCTGTCCTCCAGCTCCCAAAGTGCAGCACCAGCGCAGCCCCAACCAGCCGCTTGGTGCAGGTCAGCCCAGCGCGCCCCTTGGCCCTCCTGTTTGCTTGTCCTTTCTTGTAGTCCCATCCTTGCCACAACACTTCACTCCATTGTCACTCTGGATCGAAGTCTTGACCACCTGACAGTTTCCTCCCTTTTAATTTTTTAAAAAGTTTAGGATAATTTGAGGACACACGTAGTTTGAACTGGGATGGTTACATTTTGTAGTATGTTTCGTGCAGCTAACAGACACGCGTGCTTTACTAGTTCCTAACACTTGTTGTCCCCTGAATCCCTGGTTTGCTGGTGTGACTTTATTGTTCAGCTTGAATAGCTCCAGCAGTCAGTACAGGTGTTGGGAAATTCCAGGCTACCATTGAAGACACTGAACAGACTTTGGTGGCCGTGTGTATATGTATAGATAGACACTGTTTAATTTTCTGACATGCAAGTCAGCTCACCTTGACCTCAGCAAAGGAAGCCTGTGGCAGTTATTGTAGAAAGTGAAGGTTAGTACCAGTAGCATCAGGTGCCAGCTATGAATACTTGAAGGGGAAACCAGTTCTACAAGATACTGGCTTCTTTCATGTGTTTGAAGGACCTCTCTTAGCTTAGTGCTAAATGTGTAAGTAAGGTTACTACCAAAAGATTGGTGGTTGGACTACACCAGCTTCTTTGTGGAAGAAAAATGGGACAATCTCCTTCCATAAACTGATGTTGTTAGGTGCGATCGAGTTGCTTGCGTCTAATGGTGATCCTATGTCCAACAGCTCTGAACCCTGCTCTATCGTGAGCCAACCTCATTGTGACATACTTACTCATTAGCTGATGCAGGGTCTCAATTCCAGACAGCTGGGTTTGATATATTTGGGTTTTAGGCTCTTTTGAAAGGTCCTGATGGCTTAGCACCAAAAGGTTGTGGGTTCAAACCCCTTGATGAGAGACTTGTATTAGCCTGCTTCTGTAATAGTACAGCCTTGGGAGCCCTGTTGGACAATTATATCCTGTCCTGTAGATAGGAGCCTGAATCAACTGGACAGTTTGGCTTTTGGTTCTTTTAAATTGGCCTTGATTAGTTTCCTCATGGAGATAGGAATGCTTCTTTGATAAAAGAATACTTCTTTTAAGAAAAGAATGGTGGTGGCTTCAGGGGAATATCACTAGTGGTTGAAACATTGTATCCACACAACTTAGTCTAAATAAGTATTTGCTATGTCAATGAAGAATTGACTTTGTTGTTGTGGCTTTCTTAAGACTTTGAAACTAGTTGTCTTAACTCAGAATTGATTTCTTGGTAGTGTGTGTGTGTGTGTGTGTTAGGTGAAAATGGTTAATGTGGCAAATAAATATATTAGCTGTTCTAGTCCACCCAGAAGTGCCTCAGAAGAAAGGCCTGGTAACCTCCTTCTGGAAAATTGGTCCTTGAAGGCCTTATGGAGCACAGTTGTACGCATACACCTGTGGGAGAGTCTTAACGTTAGAAGTAACACAATGCAACTGGTTAATTTACATAGGGAAAGAAACACTCTTCAAAGATGTTGACCTTTGAGCCATTAGTAATACTTATTCTCTTCTTCATGTTAGAGACTCTATCACTTGCATTGTCCAAACACGCTGTCCTCCAAGGAGTAGCCCCTCAGGACAGTCAGTCCCACATATGTGAGTCACAGTCTCAGAATCTTTACTTCTAAGTGATAGTCTTGGCTGCATTTCTTTCAAGACAGATTTGTTTCCTCTTTTGGCAATCCATGATATATTCAGCAGATTGAAACCTTGCATTAACTGGCTATCTCTAACATGATAACTCAAAAGCTTAGTTCTTCATTAGTCTTCTTACTTCAGTGTCCAGCTTTTACATGCATGTCAAGCAGGATCAGACACACATTAGTCTGAAATGGGCATCCTTGCTTTAAGCACTTCAAAGAAGTCCTTGACCGGAGATTTCTGCAGTGCCATACATCTTAAGATTTCTTGACTGTAACTTCCATGGATGTTGATTACGGATCCAAGTAAAATGAAACAGTGAATACTCTACTTTTTAGTGCATTTAAAAAACATTGAAAAGACAAACACACTATACTGATAGACATTTTGACATACATTGCAAAGTACCACCCATTTGATAGAACAACACCTTGTTATATGGAACTTGAATTTTTAATATAAGTGGCTTTAGGAGGTTGGTATGTAACTAAGTATTGCCTGGGAGAGCAGTTGTAAGCTCTAAGTAGGACAATTATAACCTGAAACTGCCAAACAAAGTTTTTTAAAATAATTTTTTGGGATAGAAAAGTTAATGTCAGATTTCACACAACAGAAAGGTATGAATTAGAACAAATGGAAACTTTGTGATTATACAGAATCTGGGAAGTAACTTAGCTGTTGTCCCTGTTGTGTACTGTTGAGAGGGAAATGGCTCACAGCTGACCCTCCAGCGGGTTGTTATGCACCAGAGAATTGGACAGTGACTAAGAAGGATAGAAGGAGAATTGATGCCTTTGAGCTTTGATGTGGGAGGAGAGTATTGAGGATACCAAGGACTGCTAGGAAAACAAACAGATTCATCCTGGAAAGGGTCAAACCAGGCTTCTCCTTGGAGGCAAGGATTCTAAGGCTCCGTCTAACATACTTTGGACATGTTGTAAGGAAGGACTGGTCCTTGGAGAGGGATGTCATGCTTGGGAGGGTGGAGGGACAGCACAGGAGGGGAAGGCCCTCTATGAGGTGGATTGATTCAGTGACTGGGGTAATAGGGATGGGTGTATCGGAGACGGTGCGATTGGCATAGGACAGAGCAGAGTTTAGAGCTGTTGTCCATAGGGTCGCTATGAGTCACAAGCGACTCGATGGCACATAACAACAACAACAACAACAACAAATTGCATAGGAGGGGATTGCCCATCTTTCTTCCATGGAGCATCTGGTAGATTTGAACTGTATTCCTTTTGGTTGACAGTGGAACACCTTACCACCAAGTCTCTAGAGCTTCCTTAAGGGGTTTAGTTTTGTTTTGTTTTGTTGAGATACTTTTGTGATCAGTAAAGGGTCTTGCCTAGTGCTTTGTAGCTGACATTTGGTATGATGATGTTAACCTGTCTTTTCAATTTGTAGAAGATGTTTAATGATCATTCTTTTGAAGTTTTTATCAGGAAGTCTCATTTTTTTTCTTAAATTAGTCATTATGCATTTCTTTTTTTAAGCATTTTTTAATTTTAATTATGGTTTTAATGAAAGTTTACAGAAAAATTGGATTTTCATTCATTCATTGTTACACATTTTCTTTCCTATCCCCTCCCCCAGTTCAGTCTCTTTTTTAAAATATGCATTGTTGCACAATTTCCTCCCTTCCCCCTTTCCCACTCCCTCCCTCAGTCCTCTTCGCAGTATACCTCTTATTCTGGACCATTGTCTCACATATAATGCCTAATCGTACATTCCTTTTAAACAATTCTCTCCCTCATCTGTTCCAATACAGTGTTAATTATCTATCAAGTCTTTTCCTATTCTCCCAACCTCCCATGTCGGTTCTGCTTCATAACAGTGGTATTAGGCAATATTTGTCCTTTTGAGACTGAGACATTTCACTCGGGCTAATGTCCTCCAGGGTCATCTGTCACTGTCTGATCGCCAGCAACCTGCAGAGACACCCTGATGGGAGTAAGCACGACGGAGATACACCACTCCGGGAGAGGATCAGAGAGTCAATCCAGTTCAATTTTATTGATAACTGCACTGCATTTATATACACAGGAAGACAGAATAGGGTGGTCTTACAGACGTGAGACATGTGGATTGGCTAGGAGAACTTCAGCCTCTTGCAGATCACTCTCAGCTCAACAGAAGTGGCAGCCGTCTTCCCAGTTGGCGAGCTTTCTCAAACTGGTACAACCAAACACACGGGAGCTTTCTCTACCTCATATTAAAGGCCTTCGGGAGGCTTGCACTTATCTGGAGCTTAGGCGATCTGCCCTGGCCAGAGACCCTCCCTTCCTCCCCAACATTCCACAGTAGTCATCCATGTTGTGTAATGTTTTACAAGTTCATTATTTCTCTGTGATACATAATATTCCATTGAGTGAATATACCACACTTTTTGTAGTCATTCGTTCGTTAATGAGCACTTGAGTTGCTTCTATCTCTTTGCTATTGTGAATAACACAGCAATTAACATGGATGTGTATACATCTGTTTGGATGGTGGTTGTGGTTTCTTTAGGGGTATTTCCAGCAGAGCAAGTACTGGGTCAAATGGTATTTCTATTTCCAACTTTTTGAGAAAGCACCAAACTGCCTTTCATAGTGGTTGCATCATTTTACAATCCCACCAGCAGTGAATAAGGGTTCCAATCTTTCCAAAACCTCATCAGGGTTTGTTATTTGCTGCTCTGTTAAATATTGCTATTACTGCTGGACCAGTGTTTTATCTTTTTTTCTCAGAAAAGTTTTGAGGTTTTTTTACTTTGTTCACTCTTTTAGGCCATTTTATCCTTATTTTTTTTTAGTGGCTTAAAGTTAACTGTTGCCTCTAAGAAACAATGTGGTAGTCTTGTCTTTGTATGATTTTGTTTTGATCTGATTAAGCTGTTTAAGTGTGTTGTGTTCCTTGCTAATTTGCTAATTCTTAATTTTTCATCTCCTCTGTCTCGTGGGCTGTTAGAGGATGGATGTGTGTATGCAGTTCTCTGTTCACTGTATATATAAGCAGTTGAAGGCAGAGTGGGCTGTATTGTGCAGTAT